TTGGTTAAACTTAAATTGTGGTTAGGTATTACCCACAGATCAGAACATTAACTGATGATTCAAATTCCCTTGTGTCTTGCTAGGGTAGCTGAATGGGGCTTTGATGGATATGGCTGCAGTGTGATGTGTTTCATTGCATGTCGTTCTAAGGTCATGTCTGTGTCTTATATTTAATGTTATGTAGAAGTTTAAGAATTATATGTGTCCATAAAGTGTTAGGTAGTATCAGTTGTTATGTATATATGTGTACACAAATATATATGGCAAGTGTAAATACAATCCAATTTGGTGGGGAAGCCTTCAAACAGGAGCAAGGTTGAAATTCTTATTTAAGCTTTATAGCAGGTTTACAAATTTCCTTGTGCTCTTGTTAACAGTCGTCCTTGACCCTGGAGGGCTGAGTCATTGGGTGATGCTGCATATCCCATACCTCCAGGCTCATGTTTGCATATGGCACTGTGGAAGGGTCAACTGGAGCTGAGGTGGCCTGGATAAGGCTCATCTTTTATTGAACAGGCTTGACTGGAGGCACCAACATAATGTCTAGACCCAAATCTCAGCATTGTTACTACCTGCTGACAGCATCACAGTAACAAAAAAGGTAAGTTCCATTCAAAGATTGTTGAGAACCCACTGTTGACAGCACCTACCGAGGATTTGAAACTGATACCAACTGTAGCCCTTGACCTGAGGAATTTATTGTTTCTGAGTTCTGGAGGTTGTTGGAGTTTGCATAGTCTTCGTAAACAGACTTAGAGAGATAAGTACAGCTGATGGGTCATTGGAGGAGGGAAAGGAGAGAAAGCTTGGGGAACACATGACCAGGAAGCCCAGATCTGCTGCTGGGGGGAAGGCTGGGGGCATCCATCATAATTTTGAGAATTTTCCTAAAGTAGAATATTGAGACTTCAAAATAGGGAAAGAAGCAAAAATGATGCAGGAGAACAAATACATTTCTAGTAAGATAGTTCAAAAATGTTTGCAGTTCAGTCTATTTCTAGATTTTAATCTGGGATAGAGCTGGACCATGGTAATCATGGATGTTTGGTCTTGAGCCACGGAGGATTGGGTCCCCCAGCCCAAGAGCCTCAAACTGATACCCAAGGCCTCTGATTCTTTTGAGTGGCTTTTGGAAAATGTCCACATGAGGAGATTATATCATAACGAAAAGATCTTTTTATTTTGTTATTATTTATTTCTAAATAGCCTTGGAAACCCAAGAGTAAAGATCATAAGCATTATCAGAATGCCAGGAAAAAGTAATGCGAAACATACAATTAAAATATTTACCGAGGTACCATGTGTGATGTGGTTCACTCCTTGTAATTATGTATGTGACATGTATGAAGTATGTTTTATTATCCTAATTTTATAGATTAGTCATTAATTAGGACAGCAGCCGAAATGGAAAGCATGGTTAAACAGGTTAAGAACTGAACTGTCAAACGTGGCGCACTGGTTAATGGCGGGTTGTTGATGGATACTATCTGGCTGGTGGGTCTTCGATAAACTCTACATTGACTTTGACTCAGAGAAAAGTCTTGGATAAAAACAAATTTATCAGAAATAAACATCACAATATTGTGTTTTAAATCTCATGTATAAAAATTCAACTATAGAGTACACATATAATTTTCCCCTTCTTTTTAGGTCCCTTTGATTTTAAAACTGCTGTAACAATCACAGTCAATTTTAAAGTGTTGATGATAACAATACTGTCCTGAATTTTTATAGAGACTTTTTCTTGCAAGGACCTTGAAGTGCTAAAAATGTTGTCATCCATATAGGCAAACCTCGGGAATATCTAATTTAGCAAATGTCAGTGATAAATTCTTCTGGTGCCATTCTCCATGTCTTTGAATATATTAGAATGCCCTGGAAATAAGAATGTTTATTCTGCAGCAATTGACTGCTGGTAATATGGTTAGTTGGTATAATTCCACTTGTATTTACTGTTTATCTTTTAAATAGCTGCTGGGATTAAAAAAAATCCTTTATGTTTTCTTCCTATTTCTAAAGTGGTAGGTATTACCCACTGTTCAGTGCTTTCTCCAGGTGGGCTAAGGAAACACTGTCTTTAGCTAACTGCATCCTTATGCTGCTGAGCACCCTTTCACAAACAAAACTAGAATTAGAATAAAAATTGGAACTTTAAAAGTCCAAAACACACAGTTCCTGCGCAAACAGAAAGGAGCAGAAACCGCAAGGTCACGTAAAGGAGTGAAGGATGCTGGGAGCAGATATCATGGACCTGCCTGGGCTCTGCTAAGTCCGCTCACCCATTAACTGCCCAAGCTGGTCCTCGTTGGAGACTCCTGGGATGAGACTGAGGGTGTTCCCTTTTTTTTTTTTTTTTTGCAGATGACAAAGTCATTCTGTTTCACTGGGTGATTCCAAACAGTTCAGTCTTTGCTCTTTATTTCAATTTCCAATGACTTAATTAGTGGCAACTAAACTTTGTCCACAATAGCAGCATTATGTTTGAGTCAATTAAGTGCCAGACAGTGTCATTAAATGGGATAGCGCAGATGGTAGGATCTGTGGGAGCTGGCAAGCTGGGCTCCTCAGGGATGCGTCAGGGCCTGGCCTCAGATCCCTGTCCCTGTGCCCTCCGCTGCCCACTCGCTGGTGGCCAGATTCCTCACTCTTTCCCACATCAGTGCCATCATGCCCTCAGGCCGTCTTCCCGCCCCTCTCACAGATCTAAAGCCTCTCTACTCTTTAAGTTCCAGCATAGATCACTTCCTCCATAAAACCATCTCCTATTCCCCTGCTCATTGTCAGCCCCCAGTGATATTGACAAGAACCCTGATTATACTTGGGGAATAGCTATTTGTTTCTGTATCTGAGGGTGGATCTGTTAAGTCTCAGCCCAGGCAGGATATAAGGTAGGGACATGCCTGGATTACATTTGGGAATAGGACTTAATTGCAAAAGTCTTTGGGAGCCTGAGGAAAGAAGGGGAGAGGGCTCATCTCCAGGAGGCTGGCTGGGGCCTGCCTTGCCGGGTGGGGGCACCAAGGATTCTCAAACCTTGGAGACAATGGCAGATGTGCTCAGTATGGGGATTGGATGACCAGCATCCTGGGACTGAGTGATGCCCCACACCCACAGTGATCTTCGGTGTGGCCCTAGATTCTTAATCCCCAAAGGGAGGACTTGCTTGCACTGTGTAGAGGCCCCTGATCCTGGGTGCCTTTTCCAGGTGGAGCTCGGACATATCAAGAGAGTCATGGCTGAAAGGCAAGGAAGGGTGGGGATGTGGTCCTGTAAAAGTCCAGAGAATTAGGATATCTGTTTAATTCAGTACTCAAGTGATCATTGTTAACGTTATGATTAATGCTGGGACCAGAACCATCCTGGGCAAACTAGGTGGGTGGTCCCCTGACCCAGAAGCCACCCAGTGTGATGACCGTCCACAGCCTCTCTCTCCCCTGTACTGGCTTACTGCTGGTTTAGATGTCCCACTGTGCAGATGGAGAGAAAAGAACTTGCAAGAGGGTCCTGGAGTGGTTGATGGATGCAGATGTAGCCATGAGCTCACACCTGTGTTCCACCTTAGTGGTGAGAAGGAGCCCCACTGGTGACACCCCTCAGCCCTCCTGCACAGGGACCGGTTTCCTGGAAGTGCCTGAGCCGTGCCGTCTGTTCTAGGACAGGCAACTGCAAAGCCACTGCCCTGAGAAAAGGACTCGGAGCCCCTCGGAGCCCTGCTGATGTATGGGCCTGAAGGCCTAAAGTCGTGAATGCGCCAGAGGGTCTCTTCTGCTGTCCACTGGCTCCACCTGCAAGGTTGTTCTCGGGTCTCAAAGCAGCAAGCTGCCTCTTCTCGTGAGGGCCCTACCCCACGCTGTTGCCCCATTTCCCCCTGAATTCCAGCAACGTGTAGGGCGTTCACGTCACCAGAGTCATTTTCCAAATGAACAAATTGTGTTTTCTTCTTCGTTGAACCTGATATTTGAGCCAATCTGTGCAGGCAATTTCCTCCTCTTTGTTTTGCTGACCCTGAGCGCTCTCTCAGCCCCACAGTAATTATAGGGCCTCGCCTGCCGCTGGGAGTGCAGTCCTGTTCAACAACAGTGACGATTTTGCTGAACATGAAAAAAAAGGCCCCGATTCCCGGGTTTTGTCTCCCTTTCCGATTCTGGTTGTTTACAAAGGCTTCATTTCAGTGTTGAGTTAGAATTTCTGGCGTCGCATGGGAAGCCACGGCCTGTGGCCTCTCCCTCCAGAGAGAGGCGGACGGCTCCCCGGGGTGTGTGTGTGAGGACAGCAGCCCCCCAAGGACAGGCTCACCTCGCATGTCACACACACCCCTTGTTGCTGCTCTCCACGCGTGTACATCAGGACAGCACTGAGAGTCTGTCCTGAGGCTCGGAAGGGGACAAGGGAATTATCATCTTGAAAAGCAAGGAGAAAGGGAAGGATGTGGCCGAGTAGAAAGGGTCCAGGACTGGGAGAGACTCTCCCGACACATTTATCCCACCTTTTGCACAGGGTCAAACACTTATTCAGCAGCCTTTCTGTTTTCTATCCACCCATCTATCCATCTGTCATCAGCCCTCTCTTCTACCTGGCCCACAACATTTCTTAAGCACTTAGTTTATTAGTGGTTATTATAAGCTGACTTGTGTTTTCCACAAAACTTGTGTGTTGACCTCCTAACCCCAGGAGCAGAGATTGTGACTGTATTTGGAGACAGGGCCTGTAAAGAGGTAGTTAAGGTAAGATGAGATCATGTGTGTGGCCCTTAATTCAGTCTAAGAAGTGTCCTTCTCAGAAGAGATTAGGACAGAGACACACACAGAGGGAGGACCACGTGAAGACACAGGAAAGAGACGGCCACCTACAAGCCAAGGGGAGGGGCCTCAGAATGAAGTCAAACTGAATGAAATACCTTGATCTTAGACTGAGAAAATAAACTTCTGTTGTTCAAGCCACCCAGACTGTGGCATTTTGTTCTGGCAGCCCTAGCTGACTGACATGGTAGTCTCTTTCAGGGAAAGGAGACCCAGTGATGAGTAAAGATTGCTCAAGCTGCTCAGAGCCGAGTGGGGGACCTGGAGCCCTGCAGAAGCACTGGCAGAAGGAGGTAGGTGGGCAGCTCCCAGGCTTGCCCTTCCTTTGCATCATCCATCAAACAACACATAAGGGAAGGAAGAGTCTTGTGAGAGCAGTCAGAGGGGTGTCTGCAGGATGGATCCTGGCAGGACAGTGTGGCCAGTGACAGAAGCCATTTGGTGGCTTCACAAGACAGAGTAGAGAAACGTAAGATGGGACCTTCCCAAGGACACGCTAAGGGGCTAAGTTAATGAAGCAAAATTGATTATGGTTGCGGGACCCTGGTTTATACTCATATGCATTGGTTACATATGAACACTGGTCCATATTTTTGACATTAATCACCAAGTGTTTACTAAGCAAAGAGCCTTATCCTTTGAGTGGGCTGATTCTGCTGTGGGAGACCGAGGGGGAGGAAACTAGGGCCTGTTCTTGTCTCAAAAGACCTGGTCCTGCCCTTGGGGACACTACCAGTCATGGCAGGGGAGACTCATCCATGAGAGGATGGGAGGGATGTTCTGGGAAATGGGTAAGTGCCAGAGTGAGCAGCTCAGACCACGGCCACTCCATGGGGTCAGAGCCGAGGAAGATCAATGTGGGCTGGAGCAGTTCATTTAAGTAGCAATTAGTTATAATTAATCAATTATGTAATTGAGCAGCACTTAATTATTTACTGCCTTGTTCAGTTTTCCAACTACACCCAAATGTCAGCTTTGTTTCCCCAGCCAGAGCTGAAGCTCCCCGAGAACAGGGGTGGGCTCCTTCCTTGGCGTCCAGCGGGGCCAGGGTCAGATTCTCACATCTAAGGGCAGTGGTCTGTGGCAACAGAAAGCATGGGACAGTCACTCTGAGGTCAAAACTGCGGTTCTGCCAAGAAATGACTGTTGAGTGAGTCAGCCTTCCAAATAAATGCAGAACGTGAGGAACAAATGAAGCTTAGAAGGGGGCGTGGTTTTTGAACTGAACTGAGGCGGAAGGAGAGCCACTGGGAGCATTGGCCCTCTGGGGAATGAATGGTGACAAGTAACACTCATGATGTCTCCAGCATCCGAGGGGTGTCCTCACAGCTTCCCTGGTATGGAGTTGTGGGTCTTTTTGATGCTTCCTGAGGGATCCCAGGCTGACCCTCTGAGCTGACACCCAGCAGGTCCATGAGGTGCTCTGAGAGTTAGCACCAAGGGCTGGACGATGTTGTACAAGCTCAGATAGAGGACTTGGGCTAATTTCACCTCACAGGCGTTTGGTGCCGTCACAGTGTTATTCTCTGGGAGCTGCCACTTGGAAGCCAGATAAAAAATCAAAGGTAATGTAATGAATGGCTTCTGGAAAATAAGTGTAGGATATCCTAGGATTTTAGGCTTATGGGAGGCACTGCTAAGCCCCAGCCATATGGCAGCCAAATGAGTCTGAAGTTCCTTAAAGGACAGATTCCTATAGTTAATGCTTAATGGGATCCTGAACTTTGTGGGGAAGTCCAAACAGAGCGACCTCCTAAATTCCAGGTTTCCCTGGCTGGCTCAGGTCTGGCTCAGGTTTTTTTTTTGCAGAGAACGGTGGTGCCTCCACTCTCTCCACGAGGTCAGTGGGTGTTATTACCTGTCTCCAAATGGGGCAGAACACCCCGAGACTTGCAGACTGATTGCTTTCATTAACTTTAATTGGATTCTTTCGCACTTGGAAAGAGAAGTGTAACCAGGGTTTAATTGGAAGAGCATCTCAGACCCAGGGTGACATAGGATTGCAAACATTAAAAGTGCTACAGCTGCGTTGGTGGGAAATGTTGAAGTCACTTATGTTGTTTGTAAGAATAGCTCATAGACTTGGGGATGTTAGGAAGCTCTGGGCATGTCCAATTTGGGGATTATTTTTGTGCTTGTCCTGAAAAAAAAGTAATGTGAAATCAGATGTGTGCAAGCGAAATTACAGAAGAGACCAAACACATTCCAACTGTGCCGTGTGCCAAAAGAAATCTACAGAAGCTGGGAGACCCTCAGTGTAAGTCCAGTGTCTGAGCTGGCCTGGGGCAGCATGCGAGGTCTTCTACGTTGGATTCCACCTTGTAAGCCCTCTCGACTCTGTTGCTTTGTAACTGTTGTGTCTTCTGCCTGAGATGTTCCTCTCTCGTTTTCCTACATGGCAAACTCCCACTGAAGCTTTAAGTCCTGGCTCTTACGTTACCTCTCTGAAGTCTTGGCCAACAGCTCTACAAGAGTTACTACCTCTGTGCTCTGTGCTTCTTCTACAGAACTTTGTTCATTCAGTGAACACTCAGCAACCCAGGGAATAGAGAGCAGGAGAGGGAGAAAGGAGGGTCTCAGATTCAGGATTCCAAAATTGGTAAAAATACAATTATTTGAGGGAAGGTGATCTTTTTTTTGTAATTGAAATATAGTTGATTTACAATATTGTGTTAGTTTCGGGTGTACACCAAAGTGATTCAGTTATATATATACTTTTTTTTCTGATTGTTTTCCATTATACATTATTACAAGATACTGAATATAGTTCCCCGTGCTCTATAGTAAATCCTTGCTACTTATCTATTTTATATATAGTGGTTTGTATCTGCTAATCTCATACTCTTAATTTATCCCCCCTACCTTCTATTTCTCCTTTGGTAACCATAAATGTGTTTTCTATGTCTGTGAGGCAATTTTTGTTTTGTATATAGATTCATTTGTATTACTTTTTAGATTCTACATATATTGTCTTCGTCTGACTTGCTTCATTTAATATGATAATCTCTAGGTCCGCCCATGTTGCTGCAAATGGCAGTATTTCATTCTTTTTATGGCTGAATAATAATCCATTTTATACACACACACACACACACACACATGTCGTATCTTCCTAAACCAATCATCTATTGATGGGCACTTGGGTTGTTTGCATGTTGAGATGATCTTTTTAAGAAGCTAAGTCGGGACTCTGGTGTTTAATATGCACCTGTTGAGCATGAGGATAAGTGGACTGATTGCTAACCCTGGGAACTGCCCACCTCTCCTTTAGCACTGTGTCCTTTAGCATCTGCTGCTGGCCTCATGGAGGTGGATGCTGGAGAAGTCAGGCAAACTTTGGCTGACAGCCTGCCCGGAGAGCGCCCAATGAGTCCCCAAGAACGGAGTGGTGCCTGAGTCGCTGCCATTGCCCTCTGTTCCCTTCTCGCGTGCCCAGTCCTGAGCACTGGGCCCAGCACCGAGAGGGCATCAGGCAACATTTGTCCACCATGCCCCGTCTGCCATTCTGTATTCTTTCGCAGACTTTTCTTTTCCAGGACCTGCCCCTAGGTTCCCTCTTCACTCTGGGCTGACAATGAGTGTCTCCTCCTGGAGTGTCTTAAGTTTTAGGCAGATGTGCTGATGGTGGCACTGCTGAGCCCCACAAGGGGGCGATGGGGCCACGACGTCGTTTCATGCATTATCTTGTTACTGCTTCCTGGTCCAGGAGGTTCTGAGCCTCCTGCACAGCCTGGATTAGATAGATTTTCAAAGAAACGTCTCCAGCACGTTTTCCCACTTACCCCTCCAGGAGCCCGCTTTCATCTCTTTGCTCTCCGGCTGGCTTCCCCTCTGACCTGTGGGTGGCTCGCTGGTGCAAGAGGGCTCGACACTCACCTTCCTGGGATGTGATGAGCTTTCCTTCTGGAGGCCAGTGCTCCTGAAGGCTCAAGTGCACGTGCAGGTCACTGGTGAGGAAGCCACTTCCCCCTAAAGATTGTTCTTTGATTTTAAAAATAGCCTTTTCCAATTCACATGAAGCAGTAAAACATCTCAGAAAAATTTTTAAAGGAGTTAACTGTTTCATCAGGGCTCAGAATGGCTGCTCAGATGGGAGATCCCAGATGAGAAGCAAACTTGGGCTGGCGGGGCTAAGGGGAGAGCTGGCACTGGCTGCCTACTCAGGTCCTGTGGGCACAGAGGCTGGCTTCCTCTGGGCCGTTTCAGACTGACAGACGAGGCACGCTGGCAAATGCCACAGTGAGTCCGGGCACCCGGGCATGGTTCCCAGGCCTAGTCTGGAACATCACAGTGGGTTATGGAGGGCTTTGAATGAGATCATTTAGTCTGCACTATTCAAAAGGAAGGCCAGGGCCACAGGTGGCTACTGAGCACATGACATGTGTCTGGTCCACACTAAGATGTGCTATGTGCAAAACATACACACCAGATTTCCAAGACTTAGTCCAAAGAAAGAATGGGCAATGTCTCATGAATAATATTTCATGTTGATTACGTGTTGAGATGATCGCATTTTGAGTACGTTGGGTTAAACACAACATACTTTTGAAATAAATTTCACCTGTTTCAGTTTTAAGTCACACTTTAAAAAGTGTGACTACTAGAAAATTTAAACTTATTTGTGGCTTGCATGTTGGTCAGTGCTGGTCTATGTCCTCTAAGAACAGTGACGGTGAGGGGACATGAGGATGGCCTTGAGCTGGTGTCAAATCTGAGAAGCTGGTTGGGGCCAGAGAACTTGAATACATGCTGCGTATTTGAGGAGGGGGGAGAAATATCTTCCGGTAACTTGTCCTAAAAACAACTGAGGTGAGGTTTCCCTTGGAATATCATCAATCCCTTTTTTTTGGATCTGGGGCAAGTATAATATGAAGCCCAAATTTTCAGACAGAATTGGACCTTCTTCAGACCCTGTTCTGGGAGAGAACCCAGTTTAGTTGATCCACCTACTTGGGGCTTCATTATTTTGACTACGGTTGCCAAGTTGAGTTTCCCTGGTTGGGATAATCCATTCACAAAAATTCCCAAACCAGTTCTTCAACTCCAGCTGGCTAAAGACCACAAAATGATTAATTGAGGACACTCGCAATATGAAGTAGGACCTAGGCAGGGTTTACTAACCTAAGTTAAGCCTGAGCACACACAAGTAACTCTATCCACTATGTCCCTTGGGGTCTGATGTAATTTCCAATTGGTTTTTAGGGCAGAATTGATGAATCTCTTGGAGAAATCTCTCCCTCCGTGTTCCACCTTGTTCTTTGTCTTTTACTGCCATGCTTTTGTTTCCATATCA